CGGCGGCGGAAGTTAAAATTATTAAACCACATATATGTTTGTTCTTTCATACTTTTTTCGTTCATTTCTTATGAATGGAAGGCCTTGTCCACACAGAGATAGGTTTACGGAGCTTACTTTTCGCGCAACGTTCCGTGAACTTTGGCTAGTGTTGATAGGGCTTTCAAAAAAAATGTGCGCTACACGAGTAAACGCGTCTTATGCACCCCTCCCCTGCTGGCATGTTCACTTGATGGTTTTTATTGAGTTTCAAAACGAATTAGAAGGGGGCGGCAAAATACAGGCAGCCCTTGGGCGGCAAGTAGGTGAATCCGGCCCTGATAAGGAACCACTATCTCTGGCTCTGCCACAAAAGCACATATTTGCATAGGGAAACCATTGGCATGGATGCTGTTTCTAAAATTGGCCAGAAATAGTGGTTCCTTATTGCAAAATGCAATCCAATTGTCAATGAAGGTTATTTCGGAGTATACATTTTGTCACGAACATTTCTCAACTTCTAGCGCAAGTATCGTTTAAAAAGCTCAATTGGGAAAAACTTTAAGAGAGGGGAATACGGACTTTTGATGGGACACTTCGCACATAACTCATAGATCTATATACATAATCATGAATGCATACATTTTATTCTTCGCAGAGAGTTAAAATCTTAAAAAAAAAATCTTTCATACTTTTTTCGTTCATTTCTTATGAATGGAAGGCCTTGTCCACACAGAGATAGGTTTACGGAGCTTACTTTTCGCGCAACGTTCCGTGAACTTTGGCTAGTGTTGATAGGGCTTTCAAAAAAAATGTGCGCTACACGAGTAAACGCGTCTTAATGCACCCCTCCCCTGCTGGCATGTTCACTTGATGGTTTTTATTGAGTTTCAAAACGAATTAGAAGGGGGCGGCAAAATACAGGCAGCCCTTGGGCGGCAAGTAGGTGAATCCGGCCCTGATAAGGAACCACTATCTCTGGCTCTGCCACAAAAGCACATATTTGCATAGGGAAACCATTGGCATGGATGCTGTTTCTAAAATTGGCCAGAAATAGTGGTTCCTTATTGCAAAATGCAATCCAATTGTCAATGAAGGTTATTTCGGAGTATACATTTTGTCACGAACATTTCTCAACTTCTAGCGCAAGTATCGTTTAAAAAGCTCAATTGGGAAAAACTTTAAGAGAGGGGAATACGGACTTTTGATGGGACACTTCGCACATAACTCATAGATCTATATACATAATCATGAATGCATACATTTTATTCTTCGCAGAGAGTTAAAATCTTAAAAAAAAAAAAAAAAAAAAAAAATGCGGCATTATTAAACAAAGTGGTTCAACATGATAGTGACAGTCAGTCCTGTACAAATTATAAAAACGAAAAATAAAACAACAACACCAAGAGCAAGAACTTAAGGATTTGGAAGGAATCGATGGAAATCACAAGCTTCTCATTATTCTCCTCCACTGGACAGTTTAATTGGAGGGGTGTAATTACCTCCATAGACTGTCGATCGTCAGGCTCAACAGCCTAGTTACGGCACAATACCATACAATTCGGTGCAGATCTTAGTGGCGTAATGATGCCCAGCTACAGTACAATAACTATAACGTTAATGTTCGGGTTCGCACAAGAACTTATAATAATTTAAATTTTACAAGAAAACTCACTTGCACGTTGTTTTTCCATTATACCGGTCGAACGCATTTCGGTCTCTTCGTGAGACCATCATCAGCGACTCATGGTAACTTCGACTTCATGGCGACTTCCGGTAAGATACCGAAACGCGTCCGACCGGTAGAAAGGAAAAAACAACGTGCAAGTGAGTTATCTTCACAAATTTAAAGTATAATAACTATTTGTATATCAAATTGAAAATAACAGATGAACTCATTGCGTCATTTAGAGGAACGTCCATAGAGTTAACTCGTCGATCTGTGAATGGGCGAAACTATTCAGTGCAGTGCGGTAGTGGCAGCTTTTATGGGATAAATTTTACACATTTTGGCATGAAACAGCAAAAAAAGAGTCTGTAATATAAAAATGCGCAACTGATATGAGTTGCACCGGATCATTTTCGTTTCTGTCAAAATCGTATTAAAATGATTAAATTCATCAAAGCAGTAGGAATAATATTGAGTACACTAACACAAGTTTTCTTACGCCTGTGATATTAAGAACTATGCATTGTTCTTAAAAAAAAACCAGCGTTTAACGTCATCGTTTGCAATCATGCATACCTCAGCTCAGTTTCTTCCTCCCATGATTTATCGAATAGAGATGCAAACATGCATCCATCGCGGTTGTTTCATCTTTGTCACACACAGATCAAAAAAGTCTCTCAAAACAAGATTTTTCGGTAACTTGCGACGTATGATTTACACATCAAAAATGGGAGTAAAATTGATCCAAAAGGAAATAGCATACATTTAGTACTATTTCTCCTTTTTTTACAAAAAGATACGTCAGAAATTCTTGTTACTTTTACAATCTTACTCGTAAATGCAACAAATGAACAAAGTATTTACATATCTTCGATAATGGAGAATTTGCATGCAAATTTTTTATTTCTTTGTCTGAAAGTGCTTGAAGAGCTGATTTCACAGTTTTTCTTATACTTTTCTCTGATATGGGAAATAGTATAAAAATAGAGTTAAAAGTGAGAAAATGCACCGCCTAGTGACGTCGTCTGGCGGCATTTCCCATTTAAAGCAAGGCCGGATTAAGGGGGTGGCCACATGGGCCCCGGCCCATGCCGGCAAATTTTGCAATTTTTTTAAATGTAGGTGTAAAAAAGATCGGATTCAGAAAAAAAATTATCAATGAGAAAAGGGGACAAAATCTCTCTTTCCTGAAGTATAGTAATTTTTAATTTTGTCGTTTTTCGGTGAGACAAGAGACAGCATCTTTAATTAGTCGAGTTAAGAGAGGAACTAAACACGTAACTTGGCCTAGAGCTCAGCGCAGAGAGGAATGATGACGAGGCTTGAGATGAAAAGGATGAGCCCACGGCGTGGCGGTTGGCATGTAACAAATATTAGCGCCTATAAGACTGCATGAATACTTCACCCATTGCGCCAAACACAGTGCGGTCAGGAGCGGTTGGCGTGAAACGCATAGCGCCTACAAGACTGCAGGAATACTTCACGCATTGCGCCAAACACAGTGCGATCAGCGCGGCGCGGCGCATCGGCGGAAGTTAAAACTATTAAACAACATTTATCGACGGTGAAAGTCGGCAATCACATAACTCGGTTTGCGACGTCGCAGACTTCCTGTCATACTTTATTTTTTAAACGGAAAACTACTCAACGGTAATTCTTTAAAACTTCCGTGATTTTTCTTCTATGTGCGAGGAAAATTCTGCAAAAACTTCAAGGAATAATGTCCATTTGTTCTCCTTTAAAAAAATAACATAGTTGCGGAGATTTTCAGACACCGCAAACGAGTTATGTGATTGCCGACTTGCACCGTCGTTATGTTTGTTCTTTCATAATTTTTTGGTTCACTTCTTATGTATGGAGAACCTTGTCCACACAGAGATAGGTTTACGGAACTTAACTTTCGCGTCATGTTCCGTGAAATTCTGTTAGTAGTGTTGACAGGGCTTTCGCAAAAAATGTATCCAACACGAGTAGGTAAACGCGTCTTATGCACCCCTCCCCCTCCGGCACGTTCACCTGATGGTTTTTATTGATGTTTCAAAACGAATGAGAAGGGGGTGGCAAAATACAGGCGGCCCATGGGCGGCAAGTAGGTAAAGCCGGCCCAGATTTAAACACACGTATTTCTGCATATTAGATCATTTTGTATAATCTTCTCCAATAATTGTTCAATTCATAAACCAAGGGTAAACTTGCGTTCAGTTCAATCAGTAGTTTCCACTTAAACACGAAATGGGCCTGTTGCAAACTTTTGCTAGAGCAAAACTAAGAGTTGTTTCTTATAGATAATGCCTCAAAAATCACGATGAGCGCATCGGCAAACTCTGAAATGCACTCATAACTTCACAAACTGCGTAAGAAATTTGCGGTTTTTTGAGCTTCCCGCTTCAAAAACGATACTACGGCACAGGTGAACATTTTGTAAGAGGAGTCGTTCCATCGTCGGCAACAATCATCATAGCCGACGCCAATCCGCCAAAACACGTTTGATGGGACGAGATAACACCTGAACTGGATTAGACCAGATAACAATCGGTGTGTTAACGTTCATATTTTCCACGCCCGAAGTGATTGACCTTGAACTCTCCTTGAATTACGCGCGGAACTGCGTGCAAGCGTCGGCCATGATGAATATCGCCGACGATGGAGCGACTCCTCTAACAAAATGTTCACCTATGCCGTAGTATCGTTTTTGAAGCGGGAAGCTTAAAAAAACGCAAATTTCTTACGCAGATTGTGAAGTTATGAGTGCATTTCAGACTTTGCCGATGCGCTCATCGTGATTTTTGAGGCATTATCTATAAGAAACAACTCTTATTTTTGCTCTAGCAAAAGTTTGCAACAGGCCCATTCATCAAATTTCAGACACCTGCAAATTCTCTATTTGTTCTTGTTACGAAATCTGTTACCTCTTTACTCGCGATTTTTCTACGAAAATTCTTGAACTTGTGATCACGTGTAATTTTCTAATTCGCAAAAATTACCAGTTTTACATATTTCATAAGATTTGCTAATAGGTGGGCTCAATCGGACCGCGTTGAATAGAAAAGAACCAAGCCACATCAGCTATTGCCAAATTTAATCGGGCAATTTAATTTTTACGTGAAAACGGTTGTGCAGATTTCCGTGCAAATTTCAGTGAAAAATCTCCATTGTTTGAAGCAAATTCCTTAAAAATTTCAAAGGAATCCGCAAAACTTTTTCTCGTAAAAAAATTTAATTGCCCAGTTACATTGGGCAATAGCTGATGTGGCTTGGTTCCTTCCATTAAACTCGGTCCAATTGAACCACCGGGGTAAAAATTTGCAGCGTCGATGCAAAAAGTGGCATAGGATGATATAAAATCACATACCGTGTTAATGATGACCGTGGCTAGGTGACAACACGGCAGATGCCAGAGCCGTCGAAGGCCCCGAAAAATCATAACCGGGAGCAGATGCGCAGCGCATGCGCAAATGCGTGCGGTTATTATATTATAATTGGAGGTCGTCAGCGCAGCGCGAGGCCCAAGAGTCCGTGGTGCGCGTTGCATAGTGCAGCTTGCCTCGTGCAGCGCAGCATTAACCACCACGATGCGGTGCACTTCATTACCGATTCTTCGCCTGGTGTCTCAGTCTTATCCGCATGAGGGCTCTTCCTATGTCTTCATATGCAATTTCAGCCAAAATTCATGCAACAATAGAAACTGAAAAACTTACAATGGTGGTTCAAAATCGCCGATCATTATCCATTGCTGGTGGTTGGATGCTAATTTTGATCATTAACCGATCAACCCTCCATTATGGATATAGACTCCTGTTAGATGAACGCTTGAGAGATTTATTCCAGTTTGATCGTGAGCAGGAAATTAAACATTTGACAAGTTTTCTCTGTTCGTCATCAGTCGTTTTTGCATCTTGTAAGGAGCAATTCTGCTCACCTGTTTGCACGCGGACCGCGTTTTGCTTTTGCGGGCAAGCGTGCTCTCTGATCAGGGCAATTTAAATTCATTTTGACAAAAACAACCTGATATTCTGTGGGAAATAACGTAACTATCTTTTCATTTATTCCTGCTCAGAGTCCTGATGAAGTCTTGTTGATAAGAGTGAGATTTTAATAAGTTTTTGCTTTTGCAAGCGATCATCAGTAAGTACGTTATCATCGAAATTTATGCAGAGAAAGTGCAAATGAAAGTTTTCGTGCACACTACGCATTGCAAAACTGAAATTCTGACTTGGAATGGGGGAAATACATTAAGTACATTTTGTTCATTCCCAAAAAAACTCAAGCGCTAATACGTATTTTCTTCTCCTTTTCAGCGCTCAGCCGATAGGTAGGCAGCGCTTTTTGATTTCGACTTGCCTCTGAGTACTAGTATACTAGTGCTAATGCGTTTAAATGGCGCACCAGCTCATCGATGTGTAGGCTTTTGGGGGGGGGGTCCATTTTTAAAATGAATAAAGCTGTGAAAACTGTATTTTATGCTTTTAACGTAATGCGCAGGTAGTTTCGATCGTTTGTCTATAAGAAAATTTCTTAGCGGTAGAGTAATCTTAATATCTAATTTGAAAAATAGAATGAAATTGTGAATCAACCACTATGTACTAATTGCGAGGGGCGTTGGTTCATTTGAAAGGTGTTGTTCTCAATGCTTCGGGAAAACTGTAAATTATTTTCTGGGGTTCGTCCCCGATTTTTAAATCCCTAAAAACTCATAAATTGGATGAGGGGAAGTGGGGGTTTTTTGTTTTTTGTTTTTCGGAAAAGTTTTGTTGCTACGCATCTTACTTTACTGTTTGCTGTCTTTTTATCAGCTGTTTTCATTCAACAATCATCATTAAGTGAGGTTACTTCCAACACTCAACTGCCATCAACTTACATTTTTCTTTTCCCGCGTTTTTTTTTTTACAGTTTTTCATGATTGGTTCCATCTTTTTCCTATTGCCAATTTTTCCTCATTAAGTCAATAACCTCCAAGTTTTTTTTCTCATTTCCGATCAGAACTTTTCACGCTGTTTCTTTTCAATGTGTATAAATATGTTTATTATTAATTTCCATTTTCATTTCATCCTTTTTCTTCTGATTTATTTTTTTGGTCGTCCTCCAAAACGTGGTCGCGTTTTCCAGAATTCTTCGCATGTTCGTTTAGTGAAGCAAGAACTTAACTCTGTTATTAGTATAGAAAATCAAAGTTTCATTTCTTCATTTCGGAAGTATAAAATTGATGATCAGAACTTTGATGAAAATTTTGTTACCAAATTTTCAGTCGGTTCAATGAATATAATTTGTCATCATTGTGATGCTCGCCATTTTCAGGGTGAAATGTCCAATGGTCATTTTAATAACTGCTGCCATGCTGCCAACTGAATGATGCATGCATCCAACATGCTGCAACTGCTGCCAACTGAATAATGAAAAGTTAAGAACAGCCCAGTTATAAACTGAATTAGCATTGAAAGACCTAACAAAGATCCAAAATTTCAAAAATAAGAAATATTAGAAGGAGACCCCAGATCTACAATAAAATTATTAAGTTGACTCAAATTAGATTTACGAACAGACTTATAGTTGTTATACATTTAGATTTTTATTCGCAATGGGCCTCTACACTTCTTAATAATTTCTTTACCGAGTATTCGGACAAATACCGATTTGAAATCATTATTTTTATATTCTCCAAATTTCATAAAGCATATCAGAAATTATAATAGTGCTGTTGCTTTTGCCTCTTTCTCTGCAAATCGAATTGATATTCCGGGTGATGGACCTTATTGCTTTAAAGTTCAAAGTGAAAAGTGTACAGGAAAAATAAGGGGCTGCGAAGCAGCCCCATAAGCCCCTAGTTCTTATCGAAATTGATCGTTGAACTTAAATGAAGCCTAAAAAACGCGCCTGATGAGCTCAACTGTGAGCTCATTTTCGGGAAACAAAAATACGCGTTTACGGTTTCCTTGGTAACCTTTGTTTGCTATCAGCTGATGTTTTATTTCCATTTCCCAGCCAAGTCGACGGAGTTTATACGTCCTTTCTTCATTAAATACATTTACTAACACCTGAGCGCTTTTCTAATACGACAGTATTAGAACTTTCCCGCTTGTTTCCTTTCAAATCGTAAGAAAATTTCTAAAACAACCATAATCCGATGTTATGAACTGCAATTCTTTCACGAATTCATTTTTTTACCTCTGAGATTTAGAACGGATCGATTAAAACAGTTTTCACGGTTATAATCGAATACTCATGTCTGGAGCTCTAGTCTTTCAGAATCACTGATTCTATGTATCTATAAACAACATCTGCGCCCAAGCGCCGTGTAGTGGTATCACCGCGAATGTCATGTCAATTCGGAACACACAAAAAATATCCTTCTACGAACATAGAGGTGATTTAAATGCATTGACAGTTCGCCTTCAACTTTTAGAGTAGGCAATATGGGCTCCCACGTGATCGAATAGTGGTATCACTGTGAATTTACTTGTAACACGCATAAAAATATCCCTTTGTCGAACGTGGAGAAGTGATCCTAACGTATTGTCGCCTTCAACTGCTAGTGTAGGCAACACCGGCTCCTACGTGGTCGAATAGTGGTATGATCTCGAAATGTCACACATGCTTGGATCACACTAGAGATGCGAAGAAGTGACTTTAACGCTTCAATGGCTTACTTGCAATTCTATTTCTTGGCGATAGGACTTCTCATATGCCAATAAGCTGTTTCGGCGAAAGGTGGATTGTAAGCTCACGTTTCAAACCTGACGAGTTTCTTTAACGCTGTGCGCTATTATAACTTCTTAAAAGTTCCTATCAAGCAATATACAGGAGACTTAATTCAAATGTTCGTTTTCAAAATCAATTCACCATAAACTGATAGATACCTTGGTATGAGCGCGCTCTTCAACACTGACGTGTTGATATTGCTCGTTTTTCCGTGCAACATAATAACTGCTGTGTAACCTTGCAAAACTTCTCGGTAACTTTTAAGGTACCTAACACTGGAAAAAAGAAATTGGATCTAGAGTCCAGACTCTTGAAAACATTGACAAGAAAAAATATTCTTGATTCAATCGGATTTTTGCTTGAATCAAAACGAAATCCGCTTAAATTAAGAGGCTTGGTTCTTGATTTAAGCTAGATTCTGATTGAATCAAGAGTACTTTTTCTTGTCGATGTTTTTAAGAGTCTGGACTCTAGATTCAATGTGTTTTTTTTTCCAGTGAACGATCGAAATACAAAATCAGTTCGATTTTTCTTTTTCCATTCTTTCCGGTTTATTGAAAGCGGCAACGGCGGGCGATGCGTCGACTGTTGACTGTTGAGCCCTGATTGATGACTTCATTGTCTCGTCGAAACAATTTGCTTACTGCCGCGCCGCGCCGGCCGATCGCAACGTGCCAGGGGCAAGCGGATCGCATCGGGCATCGGGCAAGCGCATCCTTCCTCCGCTGCATCCGCGATTTATGGGCTCAAAATGCAATTGCAATGAAAAAATAGCCTCCGATTCTATTATGTTCCATCTCATATTCATCAAAGCTCCGTGTGGCAGAAGGCGACGAAGGAGGGAGCCAACAGCAACTTCCTATGACATTATGCATCTTGGAAATTAAGCCTTTCTCACGTTATATCTGGACAGCGTGCTGTAGTTCATTACCTTTCCATCACCAAAAGGGACCCTGGGGCCACTCCTAAATTAAGTAACGCCAAATTTTCGACACCCTCTACACCTCCCNGTAACGCTGTGCTATGGACCTCTTTAAAAAAAACACGTAACGCTTGCCTGGACCCCCCCCCCCCATTTTGATAAAAAATAATCTAAATATCACCTTACTGAATAGATTGGCGTTTTTATTTATATAGAGGAAAGTGAAAGTATTTTAGATAGTATTTTCGCGATTCTGTAAAACTTCTAAAGATGGCAGACGAAAAATTCTACAGCATCTCGAGACAAAAATTACTTAATCTCGTCGGGTGACGTTTCGCTCTATACTCGCCCACCCCCCTATAACGCCGCGTAACGCTGGCAAATACCCCCTCCCTTGGAGTGTTATGTAATTTAGGGACGGCTTCCTAGGGGATGCTTCGGCGGAGTCAAAATTTGCAAGTGCTTGTCTCCCTCAAAAGTATTTTAACTTGAATTCCGTAGTCATCAACAGTTTTTTGCTTTCAACGGAAATTTTTGATAAAATAAAAATAAAGATTAGTAAAATGAAACTTTTACCAGATTAAACTTAATAAACTTAGTATTATTTCTTCCGTAACTTTAGATGTAGATCGAAAACCTCAAAAGTTTCCTTTGGAACTCACCGATGAACGAAAGCAACTGATGAGGCTACTTTTTGCAATATCACTCACCCCACGCGTGCGTGCAAGAACACAGTGTAATTGGAACTCGTACGCCAACTTATACCTACAGGTAAAACTGTGTCCATTTTCCAACCTGAAATAATCAGAGACCTGGGTGAGAATTAGCGCTATGAATGAAGTCTATTTTCAATAGCACAGGGGTTCATACAATTTTAATGCGGTGTCTTATCAAACTCGTAAAAATTACACGCAAGTAATGGGATACGACGTCGCATCAAAATTTTATGAACAACCGAATGGAGCAAATAAGACATTATGTACCAGTTGAAAAATGTATTGACAATGAGACAGAATTAACAGCTAATCAATTTAGACCGATTAAACCTATTGCAATAGTTCAGTCAGATCCTTTTTGCTCCCCAAAGCCCTGACTAAATTAAAGTGCTGGATGCAGAAAGAGAAAGGGACAAACAGCCGTGCGGAATCAGAGCCGAAACCACTCAACGGAAACGACTTTCCCGCGCCTTTGACGCCGCTTTTCGTTTTTCCTTTTTCGCTTTTCGCTTCTCCCGCCAATTTCCCCGCCGCGGAGTGGTCGACGAATCGTTTCCACGTGTCCTCGCTGATCTCGAGCCAGTTTTCGAAATGGGGCGGAATTGTCGACTGAAAAGAGTGAGATAGTTCCGTCAGCCTTCCGAGGGCCCCGCGTTGTTTCCAGTGAGACGAATTTGTAAACAAAACACGGTAGTCGTTCCAGGCTATTTTCCTTTACTTCGTAATTCATTGTGATATTAGTGATAAGTTAGCATAATGTCAGTGCGAGGACAAATCCACCAAAATTCAAACAGAATGCTCTTCCTGCCGTCTCTATTGAATCTAAAAAATCATTTACGTCCTCAGATCCTGAAAAATTTAGGGGGTGAATGAGGGGTGTTTATGCGCAGTTTCAATTGTCGATGTTACAATTTCTGGGTTGAACGTTTCGGAGGTCATTTTTGATACAGAAAATGGGGATGAAGAAATTATATCTGAAAAGTTATGTGGAGGTACACTAATAGAGCGGGGGTTTTTTGAGGTGTCCCTTTTTGGTCTTCCTCTACCGCGTTTAATTGGGGTGGATGAGGGGAGGGAAGCCGTAGATGGAATTAGGGTTGCATCAAATGAGCTGTCAGACGCAGACTGGTCAGACATTACATGATCAAAAGATAAAATAAAAATCACTAAGAGAGAGGCAGTAACATGTACACTTGCAATTCATAACTCAGAAAGGTACAACCTGAGTGATTAAAGATGCCTATTTGCCCAAAAATGGAGTGTAGCCTGGACTTAGCGCACAATTGACCCAAGGTAGAAACGTTGGAATACGTTCAAGTATTCGTACGGTGGGGTATGCTCTTGACCCGTGCGATGGGATATCCGTGTAAATATCGCAGAAGAATCAAAAATAGAAGATTGTTCCAATTACCTGTCGAATTAGGAGTAACGAAATACGGCGATTCCAGTCACTTGTCACAATTTTATGTCGCGTCACACTGTTGAAATGATGGTTCGAAGTAAGCCAGAAAGTTACAGACCGGGTTGTAGGCACCATGTCGCGGTGAAGGATTTGTTAAGCTTTAGACGGACTGAAACATCTAAAATAATCCTAACCGTGGCGGTAAAGCTACTTATGGGAGAGCAAGAAAAATAGACGAAAAGGGTTTTTGAGTGACGTATGAATTCGCGTATATTTGAAGAAAATGGAATCGTTACAAAAGACTGACTATCGGAGCACTTATGGATGGCTGTGCTAGTTGGTGAGAAATCCCAAGTGCCGGACTTCGAGGTGGAAGACGATGACGAATAGGCCCGGCTCCTTTTGTTAAAAGAGGAGCTCGGTCCTCAGAGAGTCTTATCTTTCAATCCATCTCGTGACGCTGGTAATAAAAAATATAATAAAGATAGATGCGTGCGATGTGATCACAGCAACGAGTAAGTGAAGCTTGCTCGATGCTGGGTTTTGAAAATTCATAGAGAGAGACCGAAAATATGGGAGAAGGGGAGATAGAGAACCTCTATGAATAAACGCGTTGCGGTATACGCGACAGGCATTTCTTGGTTGCAGGGTCTCAGAACCTCCGCTCACGTTTCATCCACTATAATTAAAGCAAATATATGCAATTTTTTGTAACTTTTACTGAATATACTTCATGATTTCACAGTATGAAAACGTAAAATTTCAGGAAATTCACCCGATGTCGGAGATGTTGCATGTGTGAGGAATTTGCGATTTGACTATTATTACTTATGTAAAAGTTCGCGAGAAACACGATGGTGCCACTTGTTTTTCCTGAAATTAACTCCCAAGCTCAAAAAAACTTTCAAAGTTGAGGGCGTAATGGAGGGGATATCCCACGCTACCCTGAGGGTCCACGTCTACATCAAGACAAACTCTTCATGCAAAAAGAGGGAGCAAATACATTGACAGGGCTGCCACTTTATTTAAGGACTCTAAAACTGAAAACACGGCAACCCTGCTAATGTATTTGCTCCCTATCTTTGCATGGAGAGTTTGTCTTGATGTAGACGTGGACCCTCAGAATAGTGTGGGGTATCCTCTCCATTACAGCCTCAACTTTGAGAGCTTTTTTTGAGCTTGGGAGTTGATTTCAGAGGAAACCAGTGGCACCGTCGTGTTTTTTTGCGAACTTTTACATAAGAGTCTACGGTCAAATCGCAAATTCCTCACACATGCAACATCTCATGGTCCAATTAAAGTTAGCAGTAGCTAATGTAGCTTGGTTCCTTTCTGCTTACACTGGAAAAAAAAGTCGCTTGGATCTAGTGTCTAGACTCTTAATAACACTGACAAGAAAAAAGTACTCTCGATTCAATCGGATTTTTCCTTGAATCGAAGAGCCGAGCTTCTTGAGTTAGGCGGATTTCTTTTCGATCCAAGCAAAAAGTCCGATTGAGTCAAGAGTATTTTTTCTTGTCAATGTTTTTAAGAGTCTGGACTCCAGATCCAAGCAACTTTTTTTTCCAGTGTAACGCGGTCCAATTGGACGTAAACGTTTTTCGAGCTTAGTCATAGATATGGTTCTCAAAGGTGTAGTCATCTGTATTTCATTGTTAGGGGGTGAGCGCGGCGCGGATGAAGACGAGCTGGAGCGCGGATTGGCGGTTGCTGGCGGAGGGAGGGCGCGGGGGGGGGGGGGGGTTGGCGGAAAAGCGCGGTATATATCCGCGGCGGCGACGAGCGGAAGGGTTCAGTCTCCAGTCGACCGATCGCGAGTCGTGGCCGCAGCGCTCACATTCACTCCTCCAAGTTTACCCAGTAAAGTGGAACGAGAGAAACAAACAGCCGTGCGGAATCAGAGCCGAAACCACTCAACGGAAACGACTTTCCCGCGCCTTTGACGCCGCTTTTCGTTTTTCCTTTTTCGCTTTTCGCTTCTCCCGCCAATTTCCCCGCCGCGGAGTGGTCGACGAATCGTTTCCACGTGTCCTCGCTGATCTCGAGCCAGTTTTCGAAATGGGGCGGAATTGTCGACTGAAAAGAGTGAGATAGTTCCGTCAGCCTTCCGAGGGCCCCGCGTTGTTTCCAGTGAGACGAATTTGTAAACAAAACACGGTAGTCGTTCCAGGCTATTTTCCTTTACTTCGTAATTCATTGTGATATTAGTGATAAGTTAGCATAATGTCAGTGCGAGGACAAATCCACCAAAATTCAAACAGAATGCTCTTCCTGCTCCTCAGGTACTGCGCTTTCGTCGCGGGCCTAGTTAGTTTACTTCCCGTCAGGACGCATGCCATCCAGTCGGAAACGCAAGCAATGGTATGTTCAATTTCATCAAATTTTGTAAATAGAACTTCAAAATTTGTAAAACGAACTGCATGTCCAATTTGAAAAGTTCGATAATGTGGCTCATGTAACTATAAACTGGTTGTCTATGCTGCCAAACCAAGGAAAAACGCCGTATAAACATGCGAGAGTTGCCAAATTTCCCGAAATAAAAAATTTATGTTTGAGGGAAAGGCATAAATATAAATGAATTTTTTTGATATTTTAGATCGAATTGCGAACGAAATTGTCTGAGAATTTGAGGAAAAAAGTTCAAAATTTTCCCAATAAATCCGGATTTTATTGATGGAAATCTGGCGACGTTTAAAGGCTCATACGACGTTTGTCCTCAGTACGGCAATTGACACGGCACGTTTGACAAGAAATTTTGATTGAGGGGTTGGGAGAAGAACACGTCTAAAGATATTGAAATTCCTAAAAATCCAAGAAATAGATCTTCTCGGGGACGTTGTTGGGGGAGGGGGTGCCGGGGCCACTACATGCTTACATGCCCCACAACCCTATATGCACCCATCTGGTCAAAGCTGCAGCTCTGTCCAAAAGCATCTCACCAGCGATCAGACAGAGTGACCAAATGGAGCTTTTATCTTTTTGTCATGCGACCACGAGTCGCATTTTTACTATATATTATGTTTTAAAGGTATTGTCTGATAGTCTATCTGGAAGGATAGGAAGCAATGGCGATTGGGCGTCGCAGAGCGCGAGGCTGCGCTATAAAAGCGGCTTAATGTATGTATCGTAAGAAATCATAATCTCCGTGTATTTTCGAAGGTGGGGTTTGCGACACATTATTTATCCGTTTGCAGTCTCATAAGTCATGGAAGATACAAATTTCCAATTTGCTGCTGTGAACATTTTATTTTGCATGATTTCTGTTCCTTTGTGCAAATGGCACGAATTTTGTGAATATTAGAGCAGAGAGTATTTTGCATCATACATCAAAAAAGAACAGTAGAGAAAAAATTGAACGCCTTTTGTTGTTTTTCTCACTTCCATTCCGAGGCATTAATTAGCAATGGCAGACAGTAATTGTAATATGGGTGGGTTACAAAGTAGGTCACTCGTGTCACCAAAATTTGTTGAGTTCACGGTCAAGTGGAGGGTCATCGGTGGTGTACGTGCATCACGGTAATCTCAAATTCTAAGAGCAGGTGCACTGGCCGATTTTAAAGTACTCGGATTCTGCATCACACAACTCGATGATATCGCGAACAAAGTTTTAGTTTTTGGAGCATGTGTTATTGGTATCCATAGATTTTCTTGTTCTAAATTTTTATGGAAAATTTGAAATGTTCAAATTATCGATATGATTAAGTATATGGCGTCATTGATTATTGATGAGTCAAACGTGACTCATCAATAGACCATGCATTTGTCGAAAAAAAACCCAAACATCGAGAACTCCTCACCCGTGACAATCAGGATGACATCAAAAGGCTCAGAAGTTGTTGTTGTTGTTTATTTTGGTTGCGGCGTTTTTTAAAAATGGTCGATTCGCAGTTAAACAGGGATGGAAGTAGAGAAGTATGAGAGGTAAAATAAGAAGAGGAATGAGAAAAAGAGGACATCATATCAGGAACTGTATCAGTACCTGAAAAACTTGCAAGTTCTTAACTTTCTTTTGAAAAGTTGTAAACTTCCCAAAATATTGATTTACTTTCTTACGAATCTTTTAGACCACTCTGAGTCTAGACCGGCTTTTTTAAAGTTTCCTGCAGGCCCCCTCTTTTTGGGTTTTTTTTTTACGTTCTATTCTCCCCTCCTACTTTGCAACTTTCTTTCGCCCTGAAAAAGTGTTTTGCGTTATTCATAGCCTCTTTTCTCTTCATTCTCATTTTTCTGGCATGATTCTGCCAACGTCAGAGCTGATTAATCATGATCTTTCCCCGGAGAGATTTCCCTCCAGAGTGACGAGTGAAAAAACACAGAGAAAAACCAGGAAAACCAGGCTAGAATCGGATGGGGAGCCATTGAGCCGGCGAAAAATCCCGACGTAAATAAACAAGACGCTCACAAGAGCAGAGATGAAGGCGCCGCGACGCGCCGCGACGCGCCGCGCTCTCCAGAATGATTGAACAGAGGGTGCGGGGCGCGCGCTCACGTGCTTTCTCGGACGCGCGCGCTCGCGCTCGATGTGAGAGTCAGAGCCGGTCGCTGCCTCCACTAAATTTAGCGACACTTTAATATTAATGAATTTCGCCAGACGGAAGATGACGTGTCGACCCGCACAGCGCACGCTTCAAAAATCCCCGCTCTGTGACACTTAGCCGCCGCGTCTAGATCCCTTGGGGAAAATCAGACTTCAGTGGTACCCTTTAGTAACATATGAACCATGTCAGTTTTGATCCTACCAGCAAAATCAGTCGGAGTCAAAAGATGTCTCCTAGATACTTTTTTTTTTTTAAAAACAATTTCAAACCCACGGGCTGATTATTGAAGTTGATAGACAAAGCGATAGACGAAGAAGACTTAGGGAGTATGGAGCAATCCCATGGGTTGAAATGGAGGTTCCTGTAGACTAAAGGAGAAAATGGATGCCCAGCAAGATGTGCCTTAAGGTGGGAGGGGGATATTGTAACTATACCACACCTAATATGAGTAAATTCTGCATTATTTGCCCTAGAAATACCTACAAATTTCAAAAATGGACCTCTTGGCAGCATTTTAAAGTCTGACGATGAGAACCAAAACGTAGAATTAGAGAAAACCACTCTTAAAGTTTGCCGGCACTGTGCTGTCACCATCACCAATCTTGGCAGCGATTCACTTTAAAAGATTTCAAAATCATTCATGATGCAAAATTTGGATTGAAACTTTAATAATTGAATGCTCTTGTAAATATCACATAGCTCCGAAAACCGAGAATCGCTACAGTTTGGCCCAAAACCGGTCTCTCTTTGTACTGAACAGACTAAATTTCCATTATTAAGGCACATTTTGCATGCCTGACTATCACATTTAATTTCAGTAAGGAAGACAGCAGGGGTCTGAAACCAAGGACCTATATCCGAACTTTTTACGACCCTTGATGCTCATACACGTTGCCAAATTTCGCTGGCTTATCCTCATAAATAATTAATACTTCAGCTAATTAAATTCAAATTCGTCTGGTTTTGGCACCTATACCGAAATCAGTGACCACAATAAAACGTAGAGCGATCGGCGAGGACCATGAGATTCGCAGCCAAGTGGGAGCAAAAAGAGAGCTCTCCAATATATTTTAGTATTTTTACAAACAGTTTTTGGCAACTTTGCACGCGCTGTCTATAGTGGTTGACGAGTAGCGCAACAATTGGGTGATTTTCTCGTTTTCGGCTCCGGAAAGGAACATGTTTAATGCCCAGTTTGGCGGGAACGTTGTCCATGAAAACGCAGCGGTGCATGAGCTGTGTGACGATAAATCTGTTTAATTGCCTCACCCAATTTTCATAATCGTTGCAACATCTAAAAACGCCTACTATTCCCGCCGCGGTTAGGTGTGGAAAAGTTGAGTATTCATTGATTTTGTGGAACAATAAAAACAAATATTCTTTAATGAATATTTTTGCGAGAAACAGGGAACTGAGAATCGGGAAGAAACCAGGTTCCGCCGCTGGGTTAAAACAACTCGGAGCACAATATCTTATCGGATAATAACTTTATGATAAAATACTTTTAGGCAAAAATAGTCCTTTCAATATTTTGGAAACGCGCGTCTGAAACGTCATCATTTTGTTGAAAGAATCGATCATTAATTCTTTTGGAAAGACTCCAAGATTCAGTCTGAGAATGTTTTGAACTCAACAGTCGTCGGGCGTTGGTCCACATTTTAATTTGACAGGAGACATTACAAGTAATTAAAATAGGGAACAATGAACTCCAAATTAATACCTGTTAAATTATTATCACTTCACAAAATTATTATTTCTGAACCAAATTTAATCTCAGTTCATCAAACCGGCACAATGAACACGAAAGATCGTTTCCATGAAGACGTAATAATTTCTCGGATACGCGGAAAAGAAGCCCTTAGGAAACTTCATCGGAGTTAACACTGAAAAAGATAAAACACTGAGACGTACTCTGAGCAACTCGTTTCTGATATTTGACCGATCACATGCGAGACATGGTAAGAAATACATATGTGCCGTGATAATCAACGATGAGGTAGTTGCACCGTTGCATTTGTTCAATGATAAATGGCGCGCTCTGCAAAATCTCTCTCGATTCACTAAGCGATAACTCTTCAAACACGGCTGCTAAGGGGTTGCATGCTCATCTCTTTGAAGGCAATTTTGAGACTGATATCAGAAAAACTACATTCGACGGCGCGTAAGAGGTCCAGCGAGGTACCTATCTACGAAGTTCTGCCGTATTTTCATGAACATCATTGACAAGTAAGCTACTCCTGTAATATTTTGACGCAAATTCATGGAAAGATACGTACAATTGATGACACATATGCATGGAATTATTTATTTTATTGATATTTATCAGTGGGATGTTCACGTGAGATCATTAACTTATTTTACACAATCAAATCAGGATATTAAGTAAAACAGGACGAGTAAATCAAGTATCACGCGTCACGTGACGATTCAAAGAAAAATAAATAGTCCTCTAGTTGCTAATTTGATAAGGAAGCTCATTCATTGCAAGAGTGATCAGAGTTGAGTCGATTTCTTGCATTAGGACATGAGTTCATTCGAACTTTCCAAAATGACCGAGAGCAGCTTATTTTTTTATGGATGAACAACCGAACAGTCTGAAGGGATGTAAAATTTTCCTCTTACACGATACGACCAACAAAATTCAGGAATCTATCATTGCAGATTTACTGGGTATAGTCCATCTATACAAAAATGTCTACGGAATTTCGAGACTTGCCAATGAACTTTCACCCTTATGCATAAAATAAATTCTAGTTTTCTAGAGAAGACTCGTCTATGAAATACATGGCACGCAAGGGGCCGCATTTTGTCGGTCCTTCCACC